TGTAATATTACAGACAAATTATGGAAGAGGTATAAGGGGAGACAGAATTGTGTGCATAACCGGATATGAAGGACTGATGTGATGCTATTTCGCGGATGGTATCCAGTAGATATACACATCAAGAATTATGATGCCACAAAGAATAAAACAAGCTAGTGTCGTAACGCGAGGTCCAGAGCTCATCATCTCAATCACGCGTGACTTTGTTTGACTGCCCAATTGGCCTCGCCCGATCTCACCCGAAGCATATGCGTAATGCTTGGTGGGCGGTATGGCGGCATATCAATCGGTTGATGTGTCAGTCGAGAACCAATATTCGAGCATATGTCTGTCTAAATATTGATTGCACCCTCCGATATCACTCACCCTTCCATAGTTGAATTATGGTTCGCTGTTGTATGTGGTCATTGACCGCCGAACTCGGCAGTCGATTGACAGATGCGGTTTGTGAAATTTTGTGACATGACGAAATGTCTGCTTCGGTGACATCCCTTTACATAACGATTCCCCTTATGCTACGTTGTAGACCCCTGCGGATTATCCCATCTCACAGGGGTGGCAAACAGCTGGAAAATTGGTCTCGGGTACTTATGTAATAGACGTTTTTCTATAAGGATTTCATTTCTTTCCCTCTACCCATTATTTATGTCTCATATTCTGCCCCTCAATCGCATGTTGATATAACCAGCAACATCAACGGATCGCAGAAGGTCCATTTCAGAGTTATAAGCTCAAAGCAGCCAGTGATAGCCAACTGCATATATGTAACTACCGTTCGGTCGGTTAGAAGCTCACGCATAGAATCGGTGGGACGACGCCTGTGGAATATTTTCCACTAAAAATGGAATTTTAAAAGTGCGGGTATTTCCGTCTACTCGTTTTTTTTTGGCTTAGCTTCAGATATCGACCATGATACTTGTTTTTGACGTGGCGTCAATTACTATGTTTTGACCGAAAGAATGTGTTGTTATCGCAGTCCTGGAACTTCACAACGCCAATTTCACCTTCGCCACCAAATATACTATCAGGTCAGCCAAATACAGCCGTTGTATGCCGAAAATATATCTGTTCTATTGAAATCCGTGGGTTGGCTGAATAGGCCCAGAAAGGAGGTCTCACTGAAACAAAAATGGGTCGACACTACTCACGTTTCATTAATGTACGCAATATAGTCTGCTTTGATATTCTTTATTTGGATATGTAGGCAGACTGATATAACCGACAAAGACAAGGGAGACTGGAATGGCCATTTCTGGCTTATTAGCCGTCGTCAGCCAGCCATACCCAAGCCCCAAGTGTGGAACACCCGAGCCTCGAACTCGCGACCGGTTGGTTTAGAAGTCCACGCCTCTACCCACCGGGCCACAAGCCCGTTTCCCTGTCGGTTTTCGATCAGGAATATACAATGTTAGGGGGCGCTCACCGATCGTTCATACGGAAATCACTCGTTCCGGTAATATTATTCTGCCTATATATCATGAGTCGCTGTGCGGCTGCTGGTTGGGCTTGAGAGAGAGCCCTTAAGACACATCGGAACGAATGAGTTCCGTATGAGCGATCGGTGAGCGCCCCCTAACATATGGATATGTATGTGACGAATTGACGATCAGTAACGGCCGTGAAACAGCTGTCTGCTTCTGGACTGGGGCACTCTTAGTGGGCTGCTTATGTATTGTATGCATGCATATGTCAAGTAGGAGAGCAACCTTCACTGTTAGTATTAGTGAAACTAATTATTTTTCATTGGACCTGTACGGGTCTGTATGGGAACTAGGCCAAAACTGAAACATGTGAGTGATAAGTGCAATCGATTACGGTTCGTCCTCTCATACAAACGGGGTATGTGAATAGAGTGGTGGTAGGGGAGGAGAGAAGGGGGTCAGTGACATTGAGGGTGATGGGATGGGATAGGTGACGGGGGCGCGGAGACCTGCATACAGTTCATCGATCCTCGGTCACGGTAGACGCGGAGCGTGCAAGAGATTCTTCTTCGCGCACAGACCTGGCCTTTGTAGCCTTATGGCAGTTGTCTTTACCGTTGCTAGTAGGCGCTGACCCAATCGCTTAGGGTAGTTAGGTTGGACCCTGTGAATCACACGGAAGGCTTCGTTAATTAACCACAAACGAAGTGTGTTTCACCTTTAATGGGTTGTCACATTTACCGTTGATGGAACTCTTCTTAGGCTTCACGAAAGGTACTTGGACTGTCGACTTATATAATAATCAAATATCACCTTTCGAAGTTTGTTCGCAGATAACAGTGCATGGCGTCATATAAAGCATTGGGATTGCAGGGTCTGTCGCATTTTTAATGACCATTGACAATCTTCGATTTTTTAAACGTTTGGATCACAGGTGTGTATTCTGTCTCAGCACATTCCCATTTTCATCCAACACGTCTGAATTCCACATAAGCGACATTGCTTAGAAACTTTTCCTAAGATGCCTGTGGCCTGTGCCGTCTGCAATCTCGCAGACTGCGTACACTATAAGCAACCATCAGTATTTTGTGTGGATTATCTTAGGCCATTGGGAGAAAGTTAGTCTCCATCAGCATGACTGTCTGTCTTGGAAGTTTCCGTTAAATGATAATGTGGAATCTGCAGATGCATGCTCTATCACTCAATAAAAGATGCTTTTTATCCCTTCTACCTTCTGAAGATCATGTAATTGCTGGTGCCAGGCAAGATGTCTGCGTGCAGATCTCGAAATTTGAAAAGATGATTTTATCTTCATGGGGTTCTTCATATTCAACTGCCGTCGGAATTTCGTGGTTGGTAATAGCTACTCATCACCTCACTCGATCACGTGTGGTGTACTTCAAGGCATGGTTCTGGGTCCTTCTTTACAGCAATGATATTTCGGCTATGATGAAAAGTTGGTAAACTTTTGTCGATAGCGTCATGTGTGTTTGTATTAGCGGGGTGTTTGACTTGAAGGGCGGAAAAATAATAAGGCGGGAAATAGGAGGAGCGCAGCATGGCTGATTTGCAGGCAAGCAATTATCTGAAGGACAGGATATGTGGGTTGGTAATGCCTACAAAGCGCTGCTGTTGGTAGACAACGTCAATTTTGAGGATAATGGCAAGTCAGATAAGGAAGAAGAAGAAGAAGAAGAAGAAGAAGAAGGATGTTTGCAGGCAGGTCTAATTGTTGTAAAAAGTTAACAGCCACATAATGGTAGCAATTTAGTTTTAAATGGTTTTTGGTCTGCCAGTTGTGAGCATGGCACTCGACTCTGTCTTACATGTGACGCCGTTGGGGATGCAAAATACACACTATGCAGCCTGCCAAATGATGGAATTAAACAAATCGTCCAATGTAACCCCGTGCAGTGACATGCAAATATAATTTTTTTGTTTTGGGTAATGCTGGGTTATGTAGCCCCTCCTGTTGGGCACACTTCTGTAGGGGTTGGGGTAAGGCGTTTTAGTTAGGAGTAAGGTTAAAGACTTGGGCTAGGGGCTATGGTTGGGCTTAGGGGTTGTGCAACTATTTCTTAGACACTCAAAGCAGAACTGCACATTCCCAATAGCATTTCTTTTGCATACAACTACTTGGCCTCGTCAACTTTGCGTTCCGCGGCCCTGTCTGCAATACCCCTAATTACTACCGGTCCCGTGTTACAGGTGGCTGAGGTTTTTTTTACTTCAGGTGGGGCTACATAACCACATCTGACCTTTTTTGATTTGGATAAGTTGACAGCATGTTCACGATATCGCCCACAATTTTAGCGTCCAGTTCACCAACGAATCACTGTGGGTGAGCGCGTCCTCCACGGCGTCCTCAATGTTTTATGACCTCAGCAATTTAAAGAGGAAATTTTCATGATGTAGGAGCCATCAGCAGATAGCAGAGACTAACACCCACCGTTGGCAGGGAGAATCGAGTCACTGTCAATACTGTAAGCGGCGCAATGTGTGAACATATCAGAGAGCAGCAAAGACACATTCTCTATGTCTTATCTAAATTCACTAATGCCGGCCTTTCTTCACTCGAAGGAAGAGATATGTCCTGGTAGACTGGGTCATTACATGGAAAATTTGATATACCCTACTCCTGACATAAGTGCTGGCCAAAAGCCAAGACAGATGTTGCGCAGTTAGTTTGCTTCTGCATTACACAGTACAAGGGACTCGGCTGCGCAGTTGGTTCCGCAGCGTTGTCTATGTGGCTTCTGGAATATGAACTCCAGACAATAATTGAGCTATACATTTGAGAAAATATTTCCTGCAGGACATGGTGTGACGTCTACGGAACTTAAGTGTTTATTATTTTATCAGTTATATTGAGTGCATTTTTGATTGAACGATAGAAGCCTGCTTGCGATGATTTCTGGTAGGACTACACGTTTATAGACTCCCGAAAAAAAGATTTCTTTTCACTCGAATTTTACTTTGGCACTGATAAGCAATCAGGATGCAGACTTTTTGTATTGTGGTCTGCTCAACGTCTGGCACTCACTGTGTATTTATGCCTAACAATACTATTATTAGTGAAAAAACGTAAACGTCCACATCTCCTTTTAGAAAGCAAGGAGTATAAAATGACACGACGACAATGAACGAATGTGGTGGCTTTTCTGATAATTCATATTCCATGGTTCTGTTGTGCCACTGTTGAGAATCTGGAGAAAAACATTATTATTATCCGCTCGGAATTTGTATTTTCATACCCGCCACGGAAGTGCACGGTGCATCCAAATCCACGCTTAATTCAATTTGCAATATTTGTGTAGATGCAGTCCTTGGACAATTTCGGTTTTTGCAATCGGAATTTTGAAAAAGAAAACACGCACACCACATGACACTTCACTCATAAAGGCATGCAGTGGGCTGATTCCCTTGGAAATTCCTATGAATGGGATTTTCCGGACGCCACATGAGCGTCCTGAAATTGCTATCATCCAATCAAATATGAGTGGAATCTGTGGAGATGCTATATAAGTGGCGTACGATTTCCATCGTATAGCGGGCGACAGCCTCCTTCGACAACAAAAAATGGGACTCCAAACGTTGATCCTACTCCCGGCTGCATTTATCTTCCTTGGTGGCGTTTTCGGTAAGTCCGGTCTCTTAATCCACTGCTTTGCAATTCCCCTATCTTGAATCTTCATCCCACAGTCCATAGTTTAATGTAATGCATCCCGTTCCATGTTTGGCATTGCAAAAACGCGCATGAGGACGCCCTTTATTGTTGCTGGAATTTTGCTAAAGACATTTGTGGACACAATCTCCAATCTCACCCCAGTTTGGTTCTAACTGGCAACGTCATCTTTCCTGCTTTTAGCACGCACCGACGGACCATCCGATTATAAATTGTGCAAAGGTGAACATACAGAGTGCACGACTATAAACTTCAAGCCTGGAGATCAGACCAAAGGCCAGCACTGCCGCACGGCCTGTTCACAGAAAATGGGTCTGTATATTTACCCCATACATGCCTACTTCTGAATGTCAATGAGATCTGTGTATACAGCACCTATTTTCAGATTCCTGCTCGACGCGGCCATATAGTTTTGCAGTCATCAACCTTCTTCTTGTCCTTTAGGGATTTAAGCGAGAAAATCACAGCCTACTACTGTGAAACTCCTGAAGAGCCCTGCACCTTGTATGACGTCTACGGACGACCGGGGTACGGCAGGAACTTTGAAATGCATGTGCTCTGTGTGCAGGCGTGTCAATTTGTCGCGAAAGGTAAACCGCCATATTGCCCCCCTCCCCCCTGCTAGCACTTGCGCGCTCGTCTACTCAGCATTTCAATCACCCGCAGCACTAACTTACACTCAGTTTATCCGCATCAAGGTTACCATCCGAGGCGCATTTACATGATGCTTAAGCAATTACTTCTCACTTTTCAGTGGAACAGAGCACCGAGACGTCCTTTAAACTATGCAGGGGTGTCGAGGAGAGATGCAGTGCAATTGAGAAGAAAGATGGTACATTCAATGGCTTCAGAAAGTGCATTTTCCGGTGTGATGGCTGGGTGAATTGTGAGTTTTCATCGACATTTAAAATGCGTTCCACCATCCTCGTTCTTGTTCATCTAGTAAGCTGCCTCTTTTGTCCTCTGAAGTGGAAAATACCAAGGAGAACACAGCATACCTCTGTCCGCTGAGCGGCGATTGCCAGAAGGGCCATTACTTCACGAAGAGGAAAAAAGCAGGCGCATTTGCCAGCTTGAAGACCTGTTTCGAGACTTGCATGTCAGGTGAGGTTCCACATGCATTGCATCTTGTCATTGTAACCTAGTAGGTACTGGTTCGCGTACCCGTTCGCCTCCACTGCGGTATAAGATAGGGAATTTGGACAGGCATATACAATGTACTTCTCCACGTCTAACGGAGCTAGCATGCAAGATCAGCATTCGTACATTTGACAGGTATAATTACTTACAAGGAATAAGTGCTGCCAATAAGTTCGCGGCGATAGTGTGACGTGAGTCTGCATTAAGTGCATGTGACTACATCTAGGTTCTTATCCTCTACTTGCGCTAATACGTTTTATGTATGCCAGAATTGAAGTAATTAACTTGACAGACAATTCAGCCGACGTTTCCACGATGTCCAGCGTGTGTTGCATAGGAACGGAGATTCGCTCGTCATTTATTTCGCAGTGAATGTAGGCTTGCGTAGCATCTGTCGCACCTTCTTCTCCTCCGCCCGCACCTGGTGTCAAGACAGAGTCATTCATAAGCCTGTAGTTCGCAAGTAGTTTCAAGGCCTCACATGGCGTTTGCTGAATTCCGTGAAACAACGCGATTCCATTCTGTAACGTCATCCTTTAATGATAAATTATTAACTAGGCGCACGGCAGATCCGCACACTATATGAGAATTACGTACTTGCTAATATAAACTGCTGTTTTTGTTTCAGAGTAAGCCTAGGCGTCATGGTTTGGTGGTGGGTGAATTCTACTGAACTTGCTCTATTATTGGTATGGTTTATCTGCGATCGCTTTACGAATTAAATTGGTTGGGTCCTATGCATGAATTTCTTGGAGAGATAACGAGCGGACAGAAATTTGGAATTCCTTGCAAAGCAATTGTAGCAGACCGATTGAGGTCCATTGATGCGGCTGAACCAATGAGTAGTCCGTAAACACTAGATTAGATTATCTCATACTTCCTGGCAAAACTCATACTGCAGCAGATAAAAAGGGAAAGAGAATGGACACGCGGGGTTATCCATTTTCACAATGATTCAGAAGGAGTCCAGGGTGCATTCGTTCGTTGACGATCTTTGCGTCAGTTGGAATCATGTCCATGCAATAATCAACCGATCCGAGGATTTGTAGCGATAATTTTTGAATGAGCCGCGGAAATTCAATGGAATGCGTTTAGGGTGTACAAAGTTTAAAATTCCAAAATAAGGGTGGGACGCCAGCGGTGAACTTCAAGGCATGCCACGATTAGCAGTTTGGGGATAATAGTCTACATGATGGCGGTGTATGTAGACAAGCGTAGAAAGTGTTCGGTGAAGTTCCTTTTCATCTCTCACAAGGCAAGGGGAAGAACTAGGTGTCTTCGAATAGGAAAATCCTTTACGCCGTGTTACCAGGAATGGTTATTTACTGAGATCGTTTCGGTTACTTTGTCTGCCGAGAAATATATCCATTTAGCTTGTCACGTCCAGCTTGATAAAGCACAATCGTATTCCGTTGCCCTGATTTCATAATCAGTAATCAGTATGCATAACAGTCTACTGAACCTGCTGCGTCGGCGTATGATTATGTTCGCACAAGCAACAGTGAATTGGAAATTGACTATGTATTCTAGCGTTTCCTTAGACGCCTAAACTCACATCATATGTCAATGAATAGGCGGGGGCAACATTGCGCCATTCGACACTATGTAATGCAGCTACCTTTGCCTTCGTCAACATAGAACTGTTGCAAACTTGTCTACTTAATTCTGGAATTACTGGCACTGTCAATTTGTGTAATACTGGGCTAAGGTTTGCTGAATATATGTGAACGAACAGCATTCTGGTATGCTAATTGCGAGCAAATAACTTGTTTGTGTGCTGCAGTGGTTTATATAACGGTTAATATTACAAAAAAGGTTTTATGATAAATTTGGCCTGCGCTACTAATTCATTTTTCAGCAGCTAGACCAGCCAATCAGTGTGGAAGGAGGACACGAGTAGTAAACTAATTTTGTTTTTTAAAAGTATTGCCAAAACCGTGCTGTAGCAGAGAAAAATGGAAAGGGAATGGACATGTGGGATTATCGACTTTTACCGTAATTCGGAAGGATTCTAGGACGTCGACGTTCATTGACGATCTTTGCGTCAGTTGGAATTACGTCAATGGGCTAATAAGCCAACCCGAGAATTTGTAATGTTAACGTGTAAATGGGCCGCGGAAGTGCAACGGAATGCGTTCAAGTTGTACAGAGTTTAAAATGCCGAAATAAGGGTAGGACGCCAGAGGTGAACTTCAAGGCATGCCATGAATAGCAGTTGGGGATAATATTCTACATGCTGGCGGTGTATGTAGACAGACGCAGGGAGAAAAAATATTTGTCTTCGAATAGGCAAGTAGCAATTAGGCAGGAAGGCATCGGAAAAGACAAATCCATATATCGACTGATTTGCGGTTTGATCCACACGATAGTTGAACCGTCGTGACGGACGATGCAGATTACGGTAAAATCAGGGGCAGTATCTGTCATTTTATTTCGTTTCGGTAAATAGGTGACTAGCGGTGCATTTAGTGCACTCTCTTCTCTGCCCCAATTGGAATCCAATGTCAAGACAGAGTCAAGAGGACCGCAGGTGGAGGGCGGTGCATGTTGTTTGCGCCACCACACCATCTAGTTCATGAAAAGCACTGAGTGGGAGTTGACATAGCTTCGTAGTTAAGTACTGCGTCCGTTGCCTGCGGCCAATGTTCGGAATCCTGTTGCTTGTGAAACACACACAGATGTGGTAGGGAAAATAAATACTAATCCGCGCTTTCTGGATGCTGTGCAGAAGGGTTTTGATAATCGACTTTCTTACGCATCTGAATATACTCCAGGAAAAAGGATGAGGCACGGTTAGCCGGAAGGGTTGTTTACAGAGATCGTTTCAGTAACTTTGTCTGTCGAGACATATATTCATTTTACGCCCTCGTCTGTATTTGAAAAACAACACCCGATTTGACGTGCCTAACATTCATGATCAGGAGTCAATATGCACAACCATCGATTGATCCTGCTGCGTTCATGTTGGTTTATGCCCGCACAAGCAATTGTAAATTGGAAACTGACGATATATTCTAGCTTTTCCGTAGACCGAACAAAAAGAAAAAATTAAATTTCAATATCAACAAAATCAGGGAAATGCAGATAAATTATTTCTTATTGTGTTCAGGAAATAACGTGCGATTCTTTATCTAAAAATTCTATTTTACAAATTCGTAAAGTTTTATGTTTAAAAATACCGAAATAAAAAAGTTTATCAGTGTGATTGTTTTACCAGACTGAAAATGCGTGTCGTAAACGAATATATATTGAGTTCGCGCGACATGCCGTCACTTTGCTCTGCCACGCCAAACGATAACTATGTCTAAACAATACTTACCCGAAGTTGACTTCCAGCGCATTCGAAAATTAGCGGCGGAAGGAATCCCGCGTGAGTCGTTAGCTAATATTTTCAATATTAGCAAGGTCACTCTGTGGCGCATTATTAATGATAAAACTGTTCCTAGAAATAAGATAGGGG